GGTTGCCACTCGCATCAACAGCCCATCAGACTCCCGGCAATTGTTGAGTTTCTTCAATTCCATGTATTAAAGAGGTCAATACATCAGCCAATTCTTAACTTTCATGAATTTTCTCCTCTCAGGATTGTCCTTGAGAAGAATAGCCACAAAACCATACCTGAACAGAGGCATAAAAATGCAGTTCGAGTGGGCATTTGTGGTCCTCAATTCCAGGTCCGATTTTCGGGTTTTTACACCTCGACCAGGTGGGACTAAAGAGCCAGGTGGCCAAGCCTTATTGTTAACTTATATTAACACCACCTAGGTCTCACTGCGCAAACTCTCTAATCCCTGCAAATAATATAAATACCCCTTCTCCCCCGCCCCGCCCCGTCTCCCTTTCCCCCTTTCCCCCTCAGACAGACCGCCGATAACATTAGCCTTCTACGGTACAGTCAACCTGTTCGTTTCCTGCCATGGCGAGGAGTGTTTTCGTGTCGAGCGGAGAATGATTGACGAGACCCGTTGCTGGGCGCCTGGCTTTTACGTACAGTACCAGTACGGTACGGGTGAGGAGTTGGGAATCAGTGGTGGTCACATTTTCATTTATTCATCTTAGATTTAATCCAATTCAACCTGGATGCGTGCATGATACTGTACTCTCTGAGGGTCGATTGAGAATGAATGTGAATGTGGTTGATGGGAACACGTATTCTGATACGGGTATTATTATCGTTATCATCATAATTCTCGCAGCGACACTGGATGAGGGATTGGGTTCGGGAGGAGGGACTCGGACATGGTTTCTGCTTCTCTGTCTGCATTCCGGGAACACGTAATTGGGGAGAGGGGGTGTTACGTACGCACGCGAAGGTCCCTGCCTCCTCTTCCGTGCTATGTAGGGTAGTCGTCGTATGGTAGTCGTAGGCGGGAGAGAATTGCGGGTAGGTTCATCGTACAGTATCCTGTGCTGTAGGTTACTGTACTGTACTGTACCTCAACCCGTGCCCACGAGTATTCCTTGGACTGTGCCTTGCACCCAACGGTCCGCACATCCAGCCATACGAGTACATCCACACGTCCCATCTGCGGTATCGGTAGGGTGCAGTACTAGTTAGTACTCGAGTACTGTACTCGTGTCGTCCCTCTTCCCCCACCCCCCTCACTCCCACAGGAGTACCTTCACACACACTCATTCGGTTTCCTTCCCCCCCCCCCTTTTTTATTCCTTTTTCCTTCTTCCATTCTTCCCCCCCCCTTCTTCCTTCCATCTCTCTCCACCTCGATCCGGAGCCGTTCGTCTGCACCGCACAGATGCTTTCCCGAGATGTGGTTGGGCGTCGCTGCTATATCTTGGCTCGCTTTCCCACCACTACCGCTTCTGCACACATCTGCTCATCCACTGTGCGCTTACGGACACGCGCCCGCCTCCTACTTTCCGCTCTCACCCCTTCCTCCCTTACCACTCCCTTCCACAGCTCTCCTGCTTCCCGTCCGCACACTCTCGCTACCGGTGATCGCCCCCTTAGAGAAATCAGGAAAAATATATTCAAGCTGGCGTCGGCACAGCAACAGCGCGACCACACCGGTCATTCGCACTCCCATTCCCACGGTCCCGGGGGGCACCACCACCATGACAATACCTACCTGGTCTCCAGGAATAAGACGGATGCCGGGGTGAGGATCACCAGGATTGGGCTCTACGTGAACCTCGTGATGGCCGTGTCCAAGGGGATTGGAGGGTGGTATTTTAACTCGCAGGCTTTGGTTCGTTGGCCCGACCCCTGCTATTGCTCTCGTTTCGGGGCCTGACTGATGGTGATGGCAAGGTGGCGGACGCTTTCCATGCCCTGACCGATTTGGTTTCGGACTTTATGACGCTGGGGACCGTGGCTTTTGCTCTCAGGAGACCGACCGAGAAGTTTCCCAATGGCTATGGGAAGATTGAGAGTTTGGGGAGCCTGGGAGTCAGCAGTCTGTTGCTATTTGGTGGTATTGCTATGGGTTTGTTTTCGCTTTGCCCCTTTGTGATTTTTCTCTCTTCCTTCCTTCCTTCCTTCCTTCCTTCCAAGGCCTGGGGGAGGCTGACGGATGGGATGGGATGGGGTGTGACAGGATACACTGCGTTGATTCATCTTTATGCCGACTTCTTTGCCGGTGGAGACCTACCCGAGTTCTTGGGACACGCTCATGGTCATTCGCATTCTCACTCCCACTCTGACTTGGGGCCGAACGTGAATGCCGCTTGGCTTGCCGCTGGCTCAATCGTCGTCAAGGAGTGGCTCTATCGTTCCAGTAAGTTTGTCCGGAGCGATACTATGGCTGAAGTCTTGGGCTGACCGGTTTGGGTGATAGCCATGAAAATTGCAGAGGAGAGGAAATCCTCGATTCTCGCCTCCAATGCAATCCATCATCGCATCGATTCGCTTACTTCCATTGTCGCCCTCGTCGCCATCGGCGGATCTCACTTTCTCCAAAACGCATCCTACCTGGATCCCGTTGGCGGGTTGATCGTCTCGCTCATGGTTATCAACGCCGGCTGGGGCAATACCCGTGCTGCGCTCATGGAACTGGTGGACGTGGGCCTGGATGACGAAATCAAAGAATCGGTGCGGAAAGCCTCTGACAAAGCCCTCGCGCTTCGTCAGGAACGACTCAGCGTTCGCGCGGTCGGCGGTTCAAAGTCGGGACAGAACTACCTCGTCGAGCTAACCGTGGAAGTCCCCATCGGCACCACCGTCCGCTCAACCAGAGCCTTGGAGGAAGTTTTGCGCGGAGTTGTCGGTGCTGAAGTCAGGGGCGTCAAAAGGATTAAGGTACGCTTTGTGGAAGAGGGTACCGATGTGCTAAATGAGTTTGTCTTTAAGGAGGAGAATGTGTCCGCCCAGGTCGAGGAACATAGCCATAAACATTAGATTCAGGAAAAAGCATTGGTGGGGCGTTTTTGCTTTTGCTTTTTTTTTTTTTTTTTGCGTGTTTTTAAAACTGGTGTAAATAGCTGGATTTTTACCCCCTCCCTTTTTTTGTTATTCCTAGATTACTCTCTTGCTGTCTCGACATTTGTGCTATATAGTATTAGAGTTAGCTAGCTTGAGGTACAGGTACTTTGCTTGGAGGGTGTTTCCTCTTTTTTTTTTTTTGAGTCTATTTTTGCAGTTTTGTGGGCGTGTGTTTGTACAGCACAGTACTGTACTGGCGTTGTAGATACCGTTAGGGCTGTTACGCCTTTGGAGTGAAGTGTGGGCTTATCTACCTATGAGTGCACGGGGTTGGGGGGGCGATACTGTACTCGTATGATATTATACACTTCGCTGGGTGATGAGGGAAACTTTTCACGAGGTGCTGCCTGGGTCTCTACGGGATCGGTATACAGTTGGTCAATCGATCTCCGTTTGGTGATGTGTAGTCTATGGTTGAAAAAGAAAATTTAAAAGAAAATCAAAGGGTCCAAGTTGTTACCGCAAGTTCATTGGGGGAACCTTTTAAGTATTTTATATATACTACAATAGTATATATGAGCCTGTATAAGTTAAAACCTGATTATCGGGCCTCAACTACAAAACATTTATTTTTGCTTAACAACTTTGCTAGTTATGTAAAGTAGGTATATAGTAGCTTAGAAAATATTTTAGAACTTCAGATGACCTCTGTAGCATGTTTTATGTCCAAAAAACTGAAAATTTAGTAAACATACAAGACATTTTCATGCACTTTTTGAAAAAGCCCAATAATCAGGTTTTAACTTATACAGCCTCATATTATATTATGGTACCTGTAGATATATTTCACCTCAATTGGAAGGAACATCACACCGGTAGTGCAGGGTGTTCTCCTACTGTGCGTTTGGAAATACGGGCAATCCTCACACATACCGTAGCGGTACGAACACTGTGCATGCACGCATGAGATAGATAGGGGTTATGTATAAAATTGCGGGCAAAGCGCCAAAACGCCTCCATTCCCATGATCCATTATCACTGCATCGGTGCTCCGCTACCGTACCCTCAATGGAATTGAAATTGAAGAGTAAAGTACAGGATTATCACTCGGCCGCCTCGCGCTACTTTTATATAATAATGCTAGAATCAACAGGTTTTAACAATGTCGGAAAAAACACTCCAGGACGCGCACTCGCATTGAGCGTGATGTGGCCTTTTCTTTATATGATGTACTTGTCTGCAACTGTGGTATGATACCTTGGGATATCACCGCCGTACAGTACTATACAGGGTATGATACACATAACTACATTGTCATATAAAAGGATTGCTAGCAGGATTCCCGCGGGGGCTTAAAGATCCATTGCGGAAGGGAAGGGGGTCTCATTGCCCGCACACACCCATGATGTGATGTGGTGATGATGATGGCTAGGCTTCCCGGTGGGCATTGGGGTTAATTTAAACTTGAGAAGCTTTGGGTGGAGGTCCGGTAAGGACTTGTTATCCCTTCGCCTGTATGATATCATATCGTGCCGATTTTCATTCACTTTTTAGCGCTGTGGTGGGGAAGATTCTGATACGGTACCGTACGGATTGCGCTGATGAACTCGAGCGTCACCAATCAGAGGAATGGACCAGGCCTGAGGCTCACTCATGGAAGGCTAACCTGGCCGAATCGACAAATTTGACTTGCCTTCCCTTATGATAACTGTACGAGTAGTTGAAGATACCGTAAACTACCGTTTGTACCGGTATGATTGGACCTTTGGAGTTGGTTATTTGTGCGTCTCAGCCAGGATTTAGCACCTTACCGGTTTTGGTTCCTACTGTAGCGGGTGGCAACAACCTGTCCTCTGCTGAAAGGGCATAGCTCACTGTATTATACCGCTAGTAGTCCAGATTGGAGCGGAGCGGGTACGGGTATCATACGAGGGTTCAGCTCTTCAGAGGAAAAACAGCATATGCCGCAATCCGGATATAATACCTACGGTATAAACTTGGGTAAATTTGTGGCAACTCTGTTCACCAGCTGTTCCCCGATATAGTAAGTTAGTTAGTTAAGCCCCTGCTACGCGTTCCGCACTACAGATAAACGGTACTGTACAGTGCCATAACTTACCCCTCGGGCGGAAAAGAACTGGTGCTATCATACGGGCTAGGATAAATGGGGTGCTGGATCTTGTCCAAGAAGCACAATTACGAGTACAAGTATCATGCGATAAATCGTACTCATAGGGGATGAACTAAAAAATGTTGCCTGAAAATTTGTAGGGATCGAAGTGGAGGGCTGTGCTTGTTAGGCGGATGAACTGATTTGGCTTATTTTCTTATTTTTTTTTATTTGGGGGGGGGGTTGATAACACCTGGTGTGTGTGGACGAGAGTGGAGAGAGACTTGGTGTACGGTAATTCCTGGAGAGAATGGGTGGCTGCTAGCGCTCACCCACACACAACCCTACATACCCTAACACATGAGGATAGGCCAAGCACCGCATATGATACCAACATGGCTGAGTTGTGGGTAGGTTATCGCTAGTTTGGGAAGTGACGAATTTTCACGACTTTATGTATTGGTGCTTGGGATTTGGCCTCTGTGATCTGGATGACACCTGTTTTGAGTATTCAAGTATTTCAGATGGAACAGTTGAAACATCCAAAGGTCGCGTGGCCCAATGGCAAGGCGCTTGACTACGATTTCCTCTGATATCAAGAGATTGCAGGTTCGATCCCTGCCGCGATCATTTTTACTTTTCCTCTCTTTGTTTCCTTGCTTATCGTGATAAGCCGGGTGGTCGGTTGTTGCCAAGCTTTCGGGCATGAACCGCGGGGTGGAGGAGGCTCAAGCGGATGGCCTCACGTCATTCTAGTCCAACCCCACAAACAACCTCTGTCCCTTCTTTCCGCATCCACCGCTGCACGCCTTATTTGTCGCCCCCACCTTACCTCTTGGGAGTTATTCACAACTATAACAGGGATAGAGATTGTGGAGCAAGTTACTTATGGAGAAGAGAAAGCTTTATCGAGAGCTCAATGGTGCTCGCGGGATTGGGTCTAATGCTAGCTTTTATGGTGCACGCTCTTGGATCGAGAGGTTGGATCTGGTAGCTGAGCTATCGGGGCACGAGGGATGTGTCAACGCACTCTGGTACCCTCTTCCCCTTTAGAACCGCACTACGGGATCGATAGAGCTAATTGAGCAAAAAGCTGGTCCCGCAGCGGCGAACTCCTAGCCTCCGGTAGCGACGACACACAGGTCAACATCCACACCGTGTACCCAGACTTTGCGCTTAACACGCGCATAGACACGGGCCATACAGAAAACATCTTTAGTGTAAAGTTCATGCCTTACTCTTCGGACCGCACCATACTCTCTGCCGCCGGTGACTCCCAAGTGCGCATTTTTGACATCGAGTACGCACCCACGAGCTCAAACTCCGCGGCAAACAAGTCGAACCGGCCCCTCCCCCCTACATCCGCGCCGGCTGTCGGGCAGCACTTTTTCTTCGGGAGGAGGGTTGTTGCCGGCAGTGATATTGCCCCGTTAAAGCGGTATTCGTACGCGGAGGATCGGCACAAGGTCTACAGGAACCATACCTCGCGAGTCAAGAGGATCGTGACCGAGACGAATCCGTATACCTTTTTGACCTGCTCTGAGGATGGGACCGTGAGGCAGTGGGATCTCAGGCAGCCGAGTGAGTACTACGCTAGGCCAACTGGGAGGAGGAGGAGAAGGGATGGTAGAGGGAGGTTACTCTATGGCATGACGGTGATTGACGACGAGGATGAGGATGGGCTGGATGGCAGTGGAGCGCCCCCGCTGATCAGTTACCGCAAGTGGGGGGTTGAGTTGAATGCTATTTCTTGCTCGACGAGTCAGCCGTTTTATATCGCTCTGGGCGGTCGGAATTTGCATTGCTTCTTGCACGATAGGAGGATGTCGGGGAGGGATTTGGCGGCTGAGAGGGGCGCTGGGAGGAGCCCGAGTTCTAGCTCTAGCTCTAGCTCCACCACTACTACGGCTATGGATACGGCGACCAGGTGTGTTAGGAAGTTTGTGCCCAGGCCTGGTAGTGGTGGGGAATGGGGTGATCCGCATATTACCTCTTGTAAGATATCGGATGCGCATCCGGATAACCTACTTGTCTCGTGGAGCGGGGATGGGATATACATGTTCAACATCAACCGGAGTCCCGAAGAACCCAGCAGCGGCAACGAGAGTAAGGGGAAGGAAGCCTGGGACCCGGACGAGCGCAGAGATAGAGACGCAGCAGATCCGGGGCCTAGTAGCAGTAGTCGCGGTAGGAAACGCAGCGCAGACAGGTCAATGCCCAAGAGGCCCCGAGAGTCAGACCACGACTCTTCTTCCCCTTCCCCTTCCCCCTCCACCCGCGAGGAAGCAGAATCCGAAGCAGAAACCGAAGACCGAGACCGGGGCCAAACCCCCAGCGCGCCCTTCCCAGAAGGCCAATTTCTAACAATACCTGGCCTACTTACTGCCCTCAAGGAAAAACTCACAACCCTCCAAACATCCTCCTCCCCGGAAGCGGGAGAGGAACTCGCAAACGACCTCTTAATTGCTGTAACGCACACCTACCGCCGCATCCGTCGTAGGCTGCTCTCGAAGGAGCGACATGACTTGGAATTCCTCGCCCGCGCCACCCTTGCGGAGAGCAATTCCGAGTTCCGCCGTCGCCGGGGGGAACGCAATGAGCGTGCGCGCGCGCGCCGCAAGACACGGGATTGGGTGCGTGCTGTGGGTTATTATGCCCACACGGTGCTACTGGACGGGCAAGTCGATGGTGAGGACTTTGAGGAATTGGAGTATACACGCGATGTCGGGTATCGGGTTTTCAAGCTGGCTTGTGGGGTTGCCGCAGCGGGGAGGGAAGGGGGTGTAGAAGTTGCTAGGGGGGAGCAAGGGGTTAGTTTTGGGTTAGGCGATGATGATGGCGATGGCTATGGAGGTGGGGATGCGGGTGAAGAAGGAATGTTGAGGGAATACTTCACAGACCTTCTCTTAAACGCAGGTCCCCATCCAATCCTGGACGCCTCTGGAAATACCTTGTATAATTCTGAGAGCGACCTAGTAACATCCCTCCGAACGCTAATGGGCTCCCCATCGCCTCCCGCTCAAGCCTCTCACCTAAAAATGACACTACTCCCAGCTCTCCTCCTAACACTCTGCCCTCCCATCTCCACCCCCTCCCCCTCCCCCTCCCCCTCCATTTCCCCCAGCCCCTCGCCCCCCCTCCACCAAACCCACCGCCAACCAAATCCGCACGCCTCCATCTCCCCTTCCCACCACTCATCCCTCTACCTCGGCCACGCCAACACCCTGACAATAAAGGACGTAACCTTCATCGGTCAGCGAGACGAGTACGTCGTCTCGGGCTCCGACGACGGCAACTTCTTCATCTGGGATGCGCGCAGCGCTCAAATAGTGAATATACTAGCTGGCGACGAGGAAGTCGTCAACGTTGTCGTGGGGCATCCGCGCGTGCCGATACTGGCGGTCGCGGGGATTGGCTGTCGGGTCGGCATTTTCGCTGTCGAGGGAGGGAGCACGGGGGGGAGGGGACGGATGGAGGATGTTTACGGGATCGTCGCTAGAAATGAGGGGGCTTCTGGGGCTGGCGCGCGAGAGATTGTCGGGGATGGAGGAGCGGTCAGGGCTGTTTGTGTGCCTTCTTAAGGGGGTTCTTGGGTTAGTGCTTTCTGGGCTTTGTTGGGATTTGTTCCTATTTTTCTTGTGATATGAAATTATTATTATTGTGGGGCGTTGGGAAATGTTGTAGGATTTATTGATTTTAATGAATGAATGAATGAATGAATTACCAATAAGCAGAATAGTCACACACTCTCACTCGAGTAGTTCAACTGCAGTTGCCCATTCTCACTTAATGTTTGAGTATGCCACATAGGTTTCCATGACGCCAATCCATAAATTAGTGTGCTCTTGTAATGTGTCACCCAAACCCTAGCTAAGGTTATACCAATCTAAGCTTTCAAAGGTAAGGAGAGGAAAGAGCATAGTCTACCGATTCCAACCTTTCCAATCACAAGCAGAGACCCCCTCCGTGATGAAGGGAAGATCAGGAATAAGTGCCCTTCCAACTCTCCCAGCTTCCTTTCCCGGAACTAGCCATCTGCCCATTCTCCTACCCGTCCTACTCCTGATCGCGCCATAAAAAAAAAAAATCCACCGCGGATTGCGAAGGTGCGGGGGGGAATTCCGTAGATTTGATATGGCGCTTGGCGCTTTGACTGTTCTTTCCCCCGCTGTGGTCTGTTGTTGGGGGCAAGTCTTCTAGCATATTGTACTGTTGCCCCTATCTATCATACAGGGCTCACACCATACTGGGGACCTGGGGTCTGTACCCCGAACTCTAGATAGACCCATCAGTTTGCGTCGTAGTCTTGTGTGAAGCATACACTTGTTTATCGCAGTTCGGAGGGTATGTCCCTTGTCTAACAACCCGAAACATCAATCCTGTGGTTGAGGATGATGGATATATTTTTCTTTTTTCTTTTCAAGCATCCAGACTTGGTTGTGCGATCCGTTAAATCACCCTACCAGGGCACAAACAATGCTCAAGGGAATTCTCGGAGCTCCGGGAGCTATTACTAGCAGATCAACAGCAGATATCATACCCACCCCAAACAAACAAACCCTGATCAGAAGTATTGGTACTAGTACACTACCAGTAATCTCACAGCCCCGCCCAGGATACCGCACACAAACCACTAGATAAAAATAAGAAAAATAAAAAGTCCTGGTTGGTTCCTACTGTAGCCCTTGCTGAGGTGGCGACGGGGCAGGGTATGTGGGACGGCATATAACCGGAAAGTGATACTCGTCTGTATCTAATTGTCATGCTTTGCCACTTTCCCGGAATAGGGAGCAATCGAGACCGCTTCCCCGAGACCACAAATTGGGTTTCGGGTTAGCGGGTCCCCGCGGGTTACTCTGTCAGAATTCTAGCCCATAACGTTCGCCGCTTCCATGGTGCATGCGAGCTCTCAAGTATCTTTATATGGCGGGAATGAGATCGCGAAGCCTCACTCGAAGTACCGGTATTATGATGTCTACTACATGTTGCTCTGGGCGCGCAATGGTGCAGGGGTAGTAGGGCAGGGTGTACGGAATCACAGACTGCTGTGCGGATGATTGAACGGGGAGTCTCGAATGGTATGACATTAGTGCTCAAGTTCGGGGAAACCAGGTTGTGCTTAGACTATCCTTTGCTCCGATGGTCTACTGTTGCTGACCTCAGCTTACATGATGGTGCCTCTCGGGGTGTTTAAGGCCCGGTGGCACTGAAGCATGGGTGTATTCTACATCTTAGGCGTTCGGTCTTGGGTAGTGTTTTGAGGATTACAGTATAGTATCTGGGTTATTGGGTGGGAGTGACAGCCCATGTTGACTATTTCGGAGGTTAGGTGTGGTCGCTGTGGTGGTCGAGATATCCGTGTTGTATTAAATCTTGTGGAGCACGCCCTAGGGAAGAATCATTCTCTATCCAAGTCGTGATCCGGGGTCTAGGGTTCCATTCGTCCACCATTTTCTGGAACCAGCGCAGTGGTGTGCCAACGAACTCGGTTGTGTCGTTCGGTTGTCCGAGCTTTAAGTGGAGAATCACATAAAATGTCCAGTCTATATGTGAGCGTCGAGTTACCGCATCATAGGTGAGCTTAGTCCCATGGTGCTGGTATGAAAATTAATGCCCTTAATATTCTCCTATGGTTCGGTGAGCTTGGATGCGCACAACACGGTTTTAAAATAGGTGGCCTCCTTGACGAAAGAGCAGGTTTGAACAAGTCAACCGGGATGGGCTACTACCGCCGGTGGCTAGAGAACCATTCTCTCTAGTTGCCCTCGCGATCGAACAAGCAGGGTATGATACCCGGCGAGCGGAGAGTCTGGTACTGAGGAAATGCTCCCCTCCTTGCCTAGCCCATCAGAGCTTTTCGATTTTCGAGTGACGAGCACGACGGGTCCCCGGCGCCAAGCTCTCATTAGTGTCACAATACTTACTATACCCTCAGCTCTGAATTCTTCGAGGGAAATAACGTACTCCAATTGTTTTCCGGGGCGGATGAATTCTTGTGGTAAACAATCTTGGGTCCGTACGGTATTATAGTCAGGGATTTTTAATTCTTGACTTTTATACGGGGGTTTCGGGGGCGGGCGGGGATATGTGATCTACGATCAAATCTGGTGTTGCCTGCCCGGAGCTCAGGTGACGGACTTTCCGCTGTTACCGTCAAGGGGAGTTCCAACGGAGGCTTTAACGGAATCCGCAATCGTATTGTCGTGGCTTTTGAACGTCGGTACGGTACGGTAAATGGTAAACTCGGAATATCATACCGTGCTCCCACCAACCAACCCCTCTCCGATATCATCGATCGGGAAATATCCCCCTCTTCTTGTCGCTCGATGGGTACGAAGGAAACGAGAGAGATGGTCAAGAACTACCGGTACCTTTATTCTACCAGTGTTTTTTTTGAGATGAACAAAGAGATAGGACAGAGTTGTTTAGTGATTTCTCTGGATACTATGTGCAACAAATTGCCCAAGCATAGCATTCTACTCTTTAAGGTGAGAGTAGACCAACACACAGAAGGGTATTCTGAGGATAGGAAATTGTGAGAATATATAACGGTTGATTCTGTTTACTTTCCGTCTTTTTACATTATTTTTTTTGTCATGGTTTCGTGGCGTGCGAAAGGGTAATTCCTTCAGGGGGGTTTTTCCCATTCGATTGTAGATTTCCCTGTATGTATGATGGTATTGTAACTACGGGTACAGGCTTCTTGATAACGTGCATGGCGAGGTAGTAGATTTGGCAAGCTGCTAGTGTTCTAGTGGTCGAGCAAGTAGGCAGGGTGGGAGTATACTACCTGGAGTAGATCTTGATACGGCACAGTACCTCAGTAGGTTGGGAAAAACATGGAGCCAGCCAGTCTGTACCTCAACACCGGGTCCCCCCACATCAGCTCCCAACCTACCCGTCTCTCCCCCTGGTCCCTTATATATTCCACTCCCCCCTTTCCTTCGCTGTGGGTAATTTCCTATACACGTGCGACCAGACCCAACCCTCCGGTCGGAATACTCCAAGTTTGTCTTCTCCCCTTTCCCTCCCTCGCATCCCCCCATCCGTTAAAAGGTGGTTATTTTGCATACAATGCTTGCCAGTTAATCCCAGTGGCCAAAGCTGTACCGGGAATGGAGGAGTTTCCTGTGCGTCAGCTGTTTGTACTGTGCAAGTTTTTCGTTTCTTTCCCCGCCGCTACTTGCTTCCTCCCCAACCCGTGCTTGCGTTTTCACCGGAGATGGAAGGGGGGCAGATTTTTCGTAGTGGCGTTATGTAGGATCTGCGAGCCTATTTCGTTCTGTTCCAATCTTCCGTATATCTATTATATGATTGAGTCGCTGGCAGTTCGGTTTGTTCCATACTCTTCCTCTAGTAGTATTGTAGTGGAGATGTCATATGTGACTGATGATTATGGTATTTGTTTACAGAAAAGCGCTAACGAAATCGCTGTCTACGCTGGTATGGTCACCGGCGCCTTTGCATTTGCCGAGTTCACGACCGGGATGAGGTGGGGCAAGATCTCAGAGATATTTGGGAGAAAGCCTATATTGATCATGGGCCTTGTGGGGGCTATGTTCTCCATGATAATATTCGGATTTGCAAAGAGTTTTCCTGTAGCGTTGATAGCCCGCGCTGTTGGTGGGGCCTTGAATGGGAACGTTGGAGTAATTCAGACCACTGTCGCGGAGCTGGTCACTGAGAAGGAATATCAAGGTATGACGAATTGGTTGGTTATATTGGAGGCACTAATGGCGATGTTGACAGTTGTTCAGCTAGGGGCTTTTGCGGTTATGCCCTTTGTCCGGTGTCTATGGTCTATTATCGGTCGCACCCTCGGCGGTCTCTTGGCCGAGCCCGTGAAACGATACCTGGCAGTGTTCCATTCTGGCGGTGTCTTGGAGGAGTGCCCCTATCTCCTACCCAACCTGGTATCCGCAATTGTCCTGGTGGTGGGAATTATCATTGGGACATTGTTCCTAGAGGAGGCTCATGAGATTCTCCACGAGAAACTAGATATTGGGGTTAGGGCTGGAAGGAAGATAGCCAAGGCCCTGTTCGGCTGCGACCATTTCTTTCCCTTTCCCCATACAAACGACCTTTCCCTTCCGTTTTGGAGGTCCCAAACGGAATGGGGTGTTTGGCAACCAACACAACTGACCGTTCCGTTTGAACAGAGTTCTTGCCCTACACAAGCAGTACCAAAACCTCAGGTTATGTATATAGAGAAAATTAAAAGCAAATAGAATAAATTCCTTCCGCATATGAAAAATTAATCTAATATTTTAAATTAATATCAATATCCTATCTACATAATTGACACCTTCTTTGTACCCTATCTAGAACTTCTACTTTTGCTCTTTGTTTCTCAATTTAATAGCAACAAATAACAAGGTTAATAAAATCAATAAAGCCATAATGCAGGGACAGATTTGGAATTGTGATTTTTGATACGGAAGAGATAGACAATTTTAACACATTAATATGAACTGATTGTGAAAAACATTTACAAGACATCATTCAAGGACAAATTTTCAAGATAAGAACCAATAGGGTATCTCTGTCATAATAAGTAGGTCAATTACTAGGTCAAATACAGTAGGGTTTCCATTCACAAAAGGTAGGAAACGGAAGGCAACCATTTCTGTCAAACAAACCATTACAAAACGGAACGGAACGGTTGCTTACGGTTCCGTTTTTGCCGAACAGGGCCCAAGTTTTTCGGGAGACAAAGCAATTATGAGGGTAATATTGAGGGTGTGGAAGGATACGGCTCTCCCACTAACGAGGAGGGAGGGCTATTAACCAGTGGTAGTATCATATGATAGTGAGGGTGGCACATTTCTTAATGCCCCAGCGACGAATAATACGGAGGAGGATATGTAGGAAAGAGACCTCAAATCGCCAAGACATTCGCCACCCCCGGTCATAGCACTAATCGTGTCATATGGGATATTGGCATATCACACCATGGGCTTTGAACAACTCTTTCCTGTCTTTCTATCGACCCCTCAGGCCGCAGGACCCCCGCATTATCTATTCAAATTTACTGGCAGCTTTAGTTTGGACACCCGGTCTATCGGCCTCATCTTGTCGGCACAAGGTGTCGTTTCGATGGCCATCCGGCTCTTTCTCTTTCAACCCATAGTCGAACACTTTGGAACCCTAAGCGTTTATCGATTTTGCATGTTTCTATACCCAATATCTTACTTCAGAGTTCCATATATTGATTTTCTCCCCCCGTCGCTTTCGGTGGCTGGGGCCGGCACCGTCCTTCTTGTGAGGGTCGCCTTTTCCGTTCTTGCATACCCCTGCAACGTGATCTTGCTCACCAACGCCGCTCCATCCCTTCTTGTCCTCAGCGCGATCGACGGCATCTCTGCCGGTGCTGTAAGCCTCTGTCGAGCTTTTGGCCCGACCATTACCGGATCAATCCACACTCAAGGCCTCGGTTGGGGAATGGTAGGTCTTGCCTGGTGGGTCAATGCTGGTATTTGTGTGACCGGTGGCATTCAGTGCCTGTGGATGAAAGAGGAAGACTTTGACGGCAGTAGGAAAACGGGGGAGATTGTCACAGACGAAGAAGTTGGCTAGAGCGTTGCGATAGAAGCATAGTCTAAGCTGCACACACTACAGGATCAGTTGTAGGACGGGGGCCAATCAATGAGCCAACAATGGCACGCAGGGTTGCTGGTGAGGGGGTCGCCAAGAACTTTGGGGAGGGGGGACATGAGCAGGGTTAGGAGAAGCGAGGGGAACTCTAATCCGTAGGTCAACACATTGTACACAACCATTTCCTGTTTGACTGGGTTTATGAATCTCGATTCTCGATCAGTAGAATATTGATACAGCAGTGGACGGATTTGTGATGAGGTATTATACAGACCCTCATTATTATCCGTTACTCGGTCTTTTGTTTCTTGAGGCCTCTTTGGCTAGTGCTAGAGGTTAGTGGTTTCGTCTAGATTCGGGGTCTGGGTTTTATAAGAAGTGCCTTCCCAGTAGTGGTGCGCCGCTTTGGGGAATGTGGATTATAATGTCTATTGCATGGGGAATGATTGCCCAATACCGGTATTTTGGTCCCCTCATTAGTTAAACCAACACGGTACTATGTTACTGCAGGTTATACTCGATAGCACACCCGCGGGGGAATGGAGTTACCGAATTCGCGGGGAATCCGATGGGGCAGGACAATGGTATGGCGTAGGCTCTGGTAGCTCCTTCTTGACAGCTGTTTGTTTCTCCCACCCAAAATATATCTTTTCTATCGTATCTTACAAGTACCAATTCTTTGTCCTTTGAGTGCAAATCATAGGATCTCACTCGCGCCTGCCCTTTTTCTAAGTTCGCCGCGCACAAATTGGCGACGCAGGCTACAGGAGGTATGATATAATAATCGACGTTCAGTCTCTCTATGCCAAAATATCATACACGGACCCAGCGAGCCTACTTTCCGAAAAAAGAGTTTAATCGGGAAATCTCTTTGTCTAGTTGGCGTGTTTGCAGGGCATTGCACCCCGAGGGTTGGGGCGTTGTTGCGGGACAAAGGAATTATGGGATGTTAGCGGCCGGCACGCTCTTTGATATGGGTGAGATATATTATAAGTCCGGCCGCCCCTTTTCTCTCCTCTTTCCGGGTTTAGAGGGGCATTAAAAAGAAAAAAGGAAGCCACAAAACTCGCCGGAACAATGACGGACCTCGGGACAATACCACGCTCAGGCAGGCTCTTAGATCCAGCAGTCTACACAGAACTCCTCGGCCAATACCTCGACGTGGGCCGCCGCCTCTGCAAAGGAACCGAAGAGCTCTGCACGGACCGCGGTCTCAGGCTAGCGGACACCTCACGGGCCTATGTGGCAATGATGCGGGTCCCTTACGCGCCCTACTATGACACCAACTTCATCCTCAAGTACTTTAGAACCGGGAGGGGATCGCAGGCGCATAGGGAACAGGCAGAGCTCGAGGGCGCCAGTCTGGATCACGCCGCCGAAGCCTTCCGGCGTAACAACGTTGGCAGAGCGCCGAGGGTTTACGCCCTTCGCCCGGCGCTGGACCTAATTGCCATGGAGTGTATTCGCGGGAAGGGGTATCGCGATAGCTCTTCGGGGTGGTGGACAAAGGAAAGGATGATCAAGTTTGTGAGGCAGATGGCGGTTTTCAGGCTTGCCATCTTGACCCAGGTGGAGAATCAGCTCGGGGTTCCCAGGAATGCCCCACATGAGGGGAGGGTTGGGCCTTATTGCTCACACGTTTGGTGGGAATATGATAAGGTTTCTCTGCTCCCGTCCCCCCCTCGCTTTCTCCCTTTCATCTTTTGCAGCATATGAATCGCTGAGTGGCCGTTGATCATCAGAGCAGCACAGGTTCTGGGACTCGATGGACCGAGGCCCATTCCCAAACCGCCACGAAATGATACTGGCCTCCCTTCGCAGAGACCTATTGGTAACCAGATGGATGTGGCAACAAGGTCGGCCACTCCCAAGCCACTCACACTTCCCCACATGGGCAGACACGATATCGTACCTGGAAACGACAATCCAGAACTTCGAGCGGGAGCCCCGCCCAACTCGCCCGGAGTTTTTTTCTCTGAACCACAACGACCTTGGACTTGGCTTTAACGTTATGATGCGAGGTGGGAAGATTGCCGCAATCATAGACTGGGAGACGGCCTCCTACGACCCTCTCTCCATGTGCCTCGTCGACTTGACCACACAGACGGATTATGATCCTAGAGAGTGGAGGGAACACGCAGGCCCTAACGGCGAAAACTTTCACGTGCTGCCCTACCGGCTGGAAGCAGACCCTACCGAAGGACGTATGTCACTCGCCACACGTATGGGGGCCGAGCGGAAACCTTTCCCGGACTGGGAGATAATCGAGAACAACGGCGGGCCGCTCTGCGAGGCGGACTTTTGCGGCGATGATTACCCCGAGGACCTGGCCTCCGATGAGGATGAGAGCATCGTGGACGCGGTGCAAATGCACTGTGACTCGGACGTTGATGCGGAGGAAGACTGCTTGACCCCTCCCGGCGGTGAGGATGATGATGAAAGGCCCCGGCCTAACCTGCACCGTCTCAAAGGAGATTGGTACTATGAACCTGTGTACGCTCTCATGAAGGAATTCATTCGCCACCATCGCGGGGCGGGCCTGGGACCGAACGGGGAGTGGGGGAAGCTGCCGGAGGAGCACTCTAGGCCCTTGGCGGACTGGGACGATCCGCTGTTTTGGAGGGTCACGCAGACCCACTTCGAGGGCAGGCATCGCCAAGTCGTCGACGAAGACAGGTTCGATGTAGCGGCAGCTATGGTCGAACAAGCAGTGGCCAAGGCACATAAAGCGAAGAAGAAGTTCGCCGTACCCTCGCGACCGCGCCGAGTGCCTACTCTCCTGAATGCCTGGGGCGATACCGCCGCGACCAGTGAAGAAGAAAGTTCCCCCAGGTCCCCGGGATCTAGCGCCGGTATTGCCGACTGGACCAGAAGGCTCAGCCCTCGACGGAAGCGGTCCATCACATCCCTAATGGGTCGGAAGGTCGGCCCGAGTCATGACCCCATTCCTCTGACCGCGTTCCCGGGAGCGCATGCGCCGACCAAAGCGGGGCGGCAGGGGGCTGAGGTGAATGTCCCGTCCACTAGCGACGACGAGCTTGTAAGGAGTGTGAGGGATGCGATTCTTGCGAGGGTTATGGAGAGATTGAGGAGTGTGCTAGATAGTGGAGGGGAAAATCCGTAGGGAGGGGGGATTTATATCATTACTACTCTGGAATGTCTGGTGTGTTTTTTTTCTTGGAATCCCGGGTCTTTTCTCTTCCTTCCCATCATACTTCCCTTCTAATTATGTCTCGTTCTACTAGTTCCTATAATTTCTTGGCCTTAAGCCACGAGTAGTTTGACGGGGTTTTGCTCCATAATCGAGGAGACAATTTACCATAGCCTTTTTTTTCTTTTTTTCTGATCTCGTCTCGTGCGAGTCAGGGCAGGATCGGCTTGCGAGTGATAGACGGTGATAGTGGGTGTGGGGGGGGGGGGGGGCAGCACTATCATATCTATCGGATGTTGTGGTGTTCACTGTTTTATTGTATCATACAGTGGTCAGGGAATACGGTGATATTTTTCTATCGCTATAATCGGGAATTTGGGGGCTGTGCGTGGTATTGCAATATGGACGATGGTCCTGCCTAGTATTGAGGATTCTGCTTTTTTATATCTCTTCCCTAGTCCTGTGTTGGCTAAGTTATGTGAATGGGGAAACGGCGCACGGGAAGGAGCTACAGAGATGAGGAAAGTCCTTGTCACGGGAGAAAATTCACGTCACGCTCCACCTATTATTATGGATGGCTAACTGTTGACAAGAGATGTGATGTGGGTTTTAGGAGGGGTGAAAGCATGTTCGTCTCGTCTTTGGAAGTTATGATACTCCGTCACGGCGATATGGTATCATACAGCAACCTTATACCCCCACCGCCCCACCACCGATCATACTAAAGTACAGTACAACTCAACCCCCCATCACTCACTCCTCCATACACCCCCCCACAACCCACTCCCAAGCCTCACGAACCCCCCACCCCTCCAACGCGGAACAAATCACACCCCCGCCCTCGGCAAAACCATCACCCCCCCGGCGTGCCCGGCCAACCAAATCCCCTTTACAACCGATGACGAAAACCTTCCCCTTCCCGCCTCCATCCCCCGTTCGATTCCAGTGCCCCACAACCCTCCACCACTTCTCCCCGACGTCCCTCCAACTCTGCACGTCGTCGGCAGCGTAGACGATAACGTACCCGTCTATATCCCCCCGGCCGAGGAATAGGCTGCGCAGGCGCTCGAGGTCTTCGGACCCGCCTAGGTCCAGGATTGTCAGGATGGTGTGCGGGTGGCTGGGAAGGGTCGTGGTGTAGACGTCCTCCAGCGTTGGGACGTGCTCGCCCGTGAAGACGTTACTGGTTTGGCGGGTTATGAAGTTGGTTTTGCCGGTTGAGGGTGAGCCGAGGAGGAGGATTGTTAGGCTTTTTTTGGGAGTGGTGGTGGGAGGTTGGGTTGTTGTAGGTGACATTGCTTTTCTTCCTTTTTTCCCCCTATGTTTGTTGTTGTCGTTGCTTCCCTCTCCGAAGCTTGTTGGAGATTTCGTGCAGAGTGGCTCCTGCTAGCCGCTGGATTTCGTGGGGCTTGTGGTCAATCCAGCGGCTATTGGGTTTTTCCAGCGTATCCAGGGAGTATGATAGCAGTATTATAGAATGCGGGGACAAACTATCATTGACGGGAGCGCTATGACCTCATGAGCTGGCGTCAATAGGGTTCTTACCCAGAATCAAAGATAGTTATCATAGTATGATATGATAATATGATATTAAGATCACCCAAAGCAACAACCTCAATCCCCGATACATATCATAGAAAGAAAGAAGAAGAAAAAGTAACGATAATTTCAATCACTCACTCGGGAGTTCCATAATATGCCATAACTCCTGGCTATGATATGATATGATATGTTTGCAAAGTGTTATGATACACCCATGGCCTTTCCCCCAACCGGTGGACTCCTCGCCCCCGTTTCGACACAGTGCTCTGATATCTCCTTATAAATTATAGAAAGTACGAGTACAAGCATCCGAGTTTTTTGTTGCCAAGAGAATTGTAATCGAGAGGATTACCCCTTTTGGATATATCTATGGCGCCAGGTCATGGTAACTTTGGTACGCGTGGATGCACAAAGTATCGGGACACCTTGGTAAGCACGTTCTGCGTACTGTCCGGATACTTTTCAAGTTTGCTGGTACCGTCAAATTAGTCAGAGTGCTGAAGGATCGTGCCAAGACGTCATATTTGGCATCTTGGCACCACAATTGCCGTTTTTGGCAAGTTAGGGCTTATTGATCGGATATTGTGGGAGAACATGGGGTCACAGCACTGTACGAGTACAATACTGTGAATTTACCAGTGTCGTATCTGGCCTGAGTTAGGCCCGTTTTATTGGGCGGCGGGAGCCAGGAGCGCAGCTTTGCTGTGTTCATATGATAGGATAACATTTAGGAAAAAATCTTCCCCTGAGAAGTTCCCCGACTTCAAGCCCCCCGCGACTCCAGTGAGTGAAGGGTTTGTAGGTTTAGAGTGATCAACGATAGCGCATCAATTATCCATAGTACAATGCTTTCACCCTTTAAAAAGTATATGCTAATAGCCGGTTCCCCTCCTATTTCGCTGTCGCTCATAGTCGGTGAAACCAAGTGGGATGCGAAACCAAGTGGGACGCCCCGGCTTTTTTTTTTTTTGCCAAGATATGATAAGAGAGGATTACATAATACTATAACTCCGCCAGATTCCATATCTGTATTGCTATATACTGCTAGACTACAAATTCTTAATTAAAAGATACAAAGTCTGCATTTTCCATAATGGAGTCTGATGAGATACAAGAAGAATCTGAATCAGATTCTGCGGCAAAATCCTCAGCATCATTCTCTGTAAAACCACCTTGTTCCATTGTATGTGTATCCTTGGCAGTAGCTCCTGTAGTAATAATCTCTACATCCACCACTTCATTGTCCAGTGTAAGCAATTGTGGATCAATTGCACTTGTTGCACTGGGGGAGATTGGCTGCAGCATTAATAGGACTTGTAAGAGGTCAGGAGGGGGCTGTAATGACTCAAGATCCTCAGGACTTGGATCTTTTTCGGGATCAGGAATTGCCAGAAGAAGTTCAGATGGAACAATTCTGCCCATGGCTTCAATTTCCTTGACTTGTTTTCTTGCCTTCTCGGCCTTTCGAGCCTCGATACCACGCCGATTAAGTGATGCTTTTGCTTTATTAACCGCAATTTGGATATTCCTTTGCGCCTTTTTGATAGTAGCAGCCTTTTCTTTTTGGATCTTTTCTTGCTTTTTCAAGCGTGCAGCTTTAACAGTAATAACACCACCCTTTTGAACAACCTTGCGAGATTTGGTTTTCTGCATGCTTGTCTCAAGTATTTGATTTTGAACCTTGAGGTACGATTGCTGCTGAAGTTCTGCTTGAGCAAGGCATACTTGGGTTCCTTTAGCCCATTGTTGAAATCTGAGTTTAGAGGATGGACTGAAACTTTCAGCACGGTCAACCCATTCACTAATGCCTTTCTGGCATTCAAAATATGTACTTGGAAGTACAGGAATCTCCAGCTCTCCTTCTTCTTCCAATAAGGGAATTATTGGGTCCTGAGAGGAATTACTATTACCCATCGTAGTACTAGATTAGTTACTAAGTGGCCTGCTCTTATTGTAATGCCGCATTTTCTTCAAAGCCCTCTTATAGGAAACTGGGAACATGCCAGACTCCTCAAAGGAATGTTTGATGGTATAGGGCTTAAAGGTTTCATCGCGAATAGTACTCAAGTCTCGAAAGAAGGATGATAGTGTATATTCCATATCAAGAGAGTGAAGAGCATTATGAATTGCCTTATTATGGTAATGCTTCCATGGACGAAATACACCAACATCTAAGGGCTGGAGGACATGCGTAAGATGGGAGGGAAACTGGAAGGGCACAACATGGTTCTCATGGCATTTAATAATGAAGTCATCTTGGCAATGTGTAAGGTGACCATCAAGAAGAAGAATACGCCAATGTTCAGTAGGGCCAGCACCAACATGCTTAATAAAATGATCAAGCCATGAGAGAGCGATACTCTCATTTGTATACCCAATTTGTGATACTGTAATTACTTCAGCTCCTGTCAAATTATCATGAATCCAACTCTCCATAATCTTCTCACCAGGACAAATAATAACTGGAGGTGGTGGTGGGCTTCCATCGGCACAGATAGCCTCAATGATCGTAATGGACTTCCGATTTTCAGGGCTTGCAGTATAGAGTTCCTTTATATCAGTAGGTACAATCACAATCTCTCCCATCGGACATCCAATTCTGACACCTGATTCGTCCATATTGAATATGTATTTGGCCCGCTTAATTCCATATTTGACTAGTATATTCTGATATTCATCAAAGAAACTCCTGAGATCTTCTTCAGTATGCGTGGCCACTCGAACTCGTGCAATTCGCTTCA